AATATAAAAATGCAAAGATACTACCCTGCATTCTATCAGATCATAATGGAATGAAATTAGAAATCAATCATAAAATAAAAAATGAAAGCTATTCTAACACCTGGAGACTAAATAATATGCTACTGAATAAACAATGGGTTTCAAAAGACATCAAGGAGGAGATTTAAAAAAAAATATTAGAGGTGAATGAGAACACAGATATAACATATCCAAATTTCTGGGACACTATGAAGCCAGTACTAAGATGAAAATTCATTGCATGGTGTCCATTCTTTAAAAGAAGAAAAAGTCAACAAATAAATGACTTAACATTACATCTCAAAGCCCTGGGAAAAAGGAACAAATCAACACCAAAATCAGTAGAAGACAGAAAATAATTAAAATCAGAGCTCAAATGAATGAAATTGAAACAAAAGTAAGAACTGAAAAAAATTACAAAACAAAAAGAGTATTCTTTGAAAAAGTAAATAAAATTGACAAATGCTTAGGCATGCTAATGAAGAGAACAAGAGAGAAAACTCAAATTAATAACATACATGATTAATAAAGGAAATATCACAACAGACACTACAGAAATACAGAGGATAATTAGAAATTATTCTGAAAATGTATACTCTAATATAATAGAAAATATCAAGGGCATTGACAAATTTCTAGAGTAATATAATTTGCCCAAATTGAATCAAAATGATATACACAATTTAAACAGATCAAATTCAAGTGATGAAATAGAAGAAGGCATCAGAAGCCTATGAACAAAGAAAAGCCCAGGACCAGATGGATACACAGTTGAGTTCTACAAAAACTTTAAATAAGAACTAATACTAATACTCTACAATTTATTTCAGGAAATTGAAAAATAAGGAGCATTTCCAAACTCATTCTATGAAGCCAATATCACCTGATTCCAAAACTAGGCAAAGATACATCAAAGAAAGAAAACTTTAGACCAATATCTCTAATAAATATAGATGAAAAAATTCTTAATAAAATTCTGGCAAATCAAATACTAAAACATATCAAAAAGATAGTACATCACCATCAAGTGGGGTTCATCCCAGGAATGCATGGTGGGTTCAACATATGGTAATCAATAAATGTAATTAATTACATCAATAGACTTAAAGATAAGAGTCATATGATCATCTCAATAGATGCATAAAAAGCATTCAACAAAATATAGCACAGCTTGATGTTCAAAACCCTAGAAAAACTAGGGATAACAGGAATATATCTCAACATCATAAAAGCGATCTATGCTAACCCCAGCGAACATCATTCTAAATGTAGAAAAATTGAAAGTATTCTCTCTAAAAACTGGAACAAGATAGTGATGCCCTCTTTTACCACTTCTGTTTAAAATAGTTCTGGAGACACTGGCTAAAGCAATTAGATAGATGAAAGAAATTAAAGGGATATGGATAGGTAAAGAAGAACTCAAATTAGCATTATTTCCCAATTTTATCATTCTATACCTAGAAGACTGAAAAAACTCCACCAGAAAACTTCTAGAACTAGTAAATGAATTCAGCAAAGTAGCAAGATATAAAATCAACATGAATAAATCAAAGCCATTTCGGTATATCAGTGACAAATGCTCTGAAAGGGAAATGAGGAAAACTATCCCATTTACAATAGCTTCAAAAAAAATAAAATACCTGGGAATCAACTTAACAAAAAAGGTGAAAGTCCTCTACAATGAAAACTACAAAAAGCTAAAGAAAGGAATTAAAGAATAACTTAGAAGTTGGAAAGATCTATCTTGCTTGTGGATAGGCAGAATTAATGTTGTCAAAATGACCATTCTACCAAAGCACTATACATATTTAATGCAATTCCAATCAAAATCCCATAAGTAGAAAAAACAGTCATGAAATTCATCTGGAAAAATAAAGAGACCCAGAATAGCTAAAGCAATCCTTAGCAAGAGGGTGTAGCAGGTGGCATAACTATATCAGATCTTAAACTATAGTATATAACAATAGTAACAGAAACAGTATGTTATTGGCACCAAAATAGACTTGTAGACTAATGGTACAGAATAGAGGACACGGAGACTAACCCACAAAATTACAATTAACTTATATTAGACAAAGGTGCCAAGAATATGCATTGGAGAAAACATAGCCTCTTCAACACATGGTGCTGGGAAAACTGGAAATAAATGTGCAACAAAATGAAATTAAAATCCTATCTCTCACCATGCACCAAACTTAAAACAAGGTGGATCAAGGCCCTAGGAATTAAACCAGAGACACTGAGTCTATTAGAAGAAAAAGTAGGCCCATATCTCCATCATGTTGGATTAGGCCCCAACTTCCTTAATAAGACTCCCATAGCACAAGAATTCATATTAAGAGTCAATAAATGTGAAGGATTCAAACTAAAAAGTCACTTCTCAGCAAAAGATACAATCAGGTGAATAATGAACCTATAATTTGGAAACAAATTGTTAGCACACACATGTCAGATAGAGCACTAATCTCTAGGATATATAAAGAACTCAAAAATCTTAAGACCAAAAAAAAAAAAACCAAATAACCCAGTAAATAAATGGGTCAATTAACTGAACAGACACTTCTCAGAAGAAGATATATAATCAATCAATAAATACATGAAAAAAATGTCCGCCATATCTAGCAATTAGAGAAATGCAAATCCAAACTACTCTAAGATTTCATTTCATGCCAGTCAGAATGGCAGCTATTAAGAATACAATTGGGTGTCAATATACCTTATATGCAAACAGAGATATGAAAAATTGTGTTATATATGTGTATTAAGAATTATAATGCAAAAAGTACAAGTATAATGCCATAAATTGACATCAACCTACTTTATATACAAAGATACGAAAATTTGTGCTCTATATGTGTAATAAGAATTGTAATGCATTCCGCTGTTGTTGTGTATTTTTAAAAAATAATAAAATCAATTTAAAAAAGTAAGAACTCAGTAAAACTTGCCCCAAACTGTGCTGGGGTTGTTGCTCAGAGGTAATACACTTACCTAGCATGTGTGAGGCATGGGATTCAATCCTCAGTATCACATAAAAATAAATAAATAAATAGATAGATTAATTAATTAATTAATTTAAAAGAATACAAACAACAGCAAGTTGGCGAGGATGTGGGGGAAATGGCACACTCATACATTGCTGCTGGGGCTGCAAATTGGTGTAGCTAATATGGAAAGCAGTATGGAGAATCCTTGGAAAACTGAGAATGGAACCACCATTTGACCCAGCTCCTCCATCTATACCCAAAGGACTTAAAAACTGTATACCACAGGGACACAGCCACATCAATACTTATAGCAGCACAATGCACAATAGCTAAACTGTGTAACCAACCTAAATGCCCTTCATTAGATAAACGGATAATGAAACTTTGGTATATATACATAATGGAATATTATTTAGCACAAAAATAGAATAAAATCATGGCATTTGCAGGTAAATGGATGGAGTTGGAAAATATATTGCTAAGTAAAATTAGCCTACCCCTAAAAACCACTTACCGAATGCTTTCTCTTAATGATGATGCTAATTCATAATGGAGTTTAATGATGCTGATTCATAATGGAGTTGGGGGTAGGGAGTATGGGAGGATTAGATGAATTCTAGATAAGGTAGAGGGAGCAGAGAGGAAGGAAGGGGCATAGGGGTAGAAAAGATGGTGGAATGGGATGGACATCATTACCCTAAGTACATGTATGAAGACATGAATGATGTGACTCTACTTTGTGTACAACCAGAGATATGAAAATTTGTGCTCTATATGCGTAATATGAATTGTAATGCATTCTGCTGTCTTATATAATAAGTTAAAGTTAAAAAATAAATTTTAAAAAGACATTATGAATTTCTACCTGTTGTGAGTTGAATTTCCCCCCCATTTACATGATGAAGTACTAACTCCCTGTATCTCAGAATGAAAACTAATTTGGAAATACAGTCATCACAAATATAGTTAGTTGTTACAATGAGGCCACACTGGATAGGATGGGCCTATAATCCATTATTAATTGGTTTTCTTATTAAAAAGGGAAATTTGGATACACACAGGGTGAATGCATTGTGAAGATTAGTTCTGATGTCAAAACCCAAGAACCTACCCAAAACTCTGAGACTGATTTGGAATACATCTTTCTCTATGACATTCAAAAGAAACATGGCCCTGCCAAGACCTTGATGTCAGTTATCCAGTCTTTATTTTTTAATTTATTGCATGACAATAAAGTTTTGTAATTTAAGCCATTTACTTTATTATAACAGTCCTGGAAAAGTAATACACAATACTATAATGCTGGTGCATATGAGCCAGGTGTATCTCCATTTTAATCCATATAATAAACATCATCACCCCCTGTGGGTAGTAATAATGAGGTCAAGGATGGAAGAAAAGGCTCCATTTCTACTTTTCAGATCTAGATTTCTCAAAGTATATGGAACTCTTTTATAATTGCAAGAAATATATCTATATCTTCAAGTTAAGTCCAGAAACAATCTATGCCCTCAAAAGGCAAATGCAAGAAGGATGTGCACAGGTACTATTCAAGGCAAGTATATTGTTGACAATGTGGTGCAAGCATGGTGAAGGGCACATGTTGTGATTATAGCACATTCTTTTTGGCATGCTCTTTGATACAACAGTAGCTTGGTGTACACATAACAAGTACTTGCCTGCTGAGTGCCAGTGTGCTTACCAAAAGAATTCATGCTTACTCAGTTTAATTAATAGCAGCATCTAGTCTGACAAGATCTTAATGTATAACTTTAAATTGAATGCCATGTAATTAATAAATATTTCAGATTTTATATATTAACTGTGTATATTATTTAATGTCTGATAAAGACAACTGATCTTTCTTAAGTTGATTATAATTGAAACAACCGAGCTACGCAAGATGGCAGCCAGCACGGGCTTGGGAGTAAAAGTCCCTCGCAATTTCCGACTGTTGGAAGAACTCAAAGAAGGCCAGAAAAGAGTAGAAGATGGCACAGTTAGGTAAGATCTAGAAGATGAGGAAGACATGACACTTACGAGATGGACAGGGATGATAATTGGGCCTCCAAGAACAATTTATGAAAACCTAATATACAGCCTTAAAATACAATGTGGACCTAAATACCCAGAAACACCCCCCTTTGTAATATTTGTAACAAAAATTAATATGAATGGAGTTAATAGTTCTAATGGAGTGGTGGACCCAAGAACCATATCAGTGCTAGCAAAGTGGCAGACTTCATATAGCATCAAAGTTGTTCTGCAAGAGCTGTGGTGCTTAATGATGTCTAAAGAAAATATGAAACTCCCTCAGCCTCTGTAAGGACAGTATTACAGCAATTAATTGAAAAGAAAAACCACAATCCCTCCCCACATTCAATTTAAGCAGTCTTCATTTTCCACAGTAGTAAATTTTCTAGATACATCTTGTAGACCTCAAAGTCTACAGGAAAGGAAGCTCCCAATTGAAGGCAATTTATCTTAAGATACTGTAAATGTTACTAATATTTTTTTTCCATTTGAAATATATAAGTTGTGCTATAACAAATCGTCCTGTCAAGTGTAACCACTGTCCATGTAGTTGAACTTCTGGGATCAAGAGAGTCTATTTAAATTGATTCCCATCATGATCAGTGGGGCACATCCAACTCAACTGTGAAAAGACAGGTCCCACAATCACCTTGCTGCTGGTTATTCGGCCTGGGGGCTCTGCCTTCTCCCCTTCCTGCCCTGCCAGCCCTGGGACAGCCCTGGGACAGCCCTCCAGCAAGAGTAGAGCAAAGGTTTCAGGTCACAACCTGGGGACTACTGCTGGATGTGGGGTGCTTTGCCTGCACCCTGGTTACTTTCTTAAGTCTTAAATGATACCCCTTCTAAGTCATTGTCCTGTCCCACTCTCCTCCACTCCTGTCCTTGGTGGAAGCATAAATTGTAACCCTCTGGCCCCTTTGAAATTGTCCTTTGCGAAGAATTCAGGGCTTTCCCCCTCCCCCACCTTGATCGAGGGGTGCTGCTTTTTTCCTCCTCCTCAACTCCCTTGTGCACCTTCACCACCCGGCACTCTCCACCTCCCTCCCTGCTTGGCCAGAAATCATCAGGTCAGGTTGGAAATCTCTGACCTCCTCCTCCACATTTGGAACCACGTTTGATCACTTTCCACCAGCCTGGGAAATGAGCTTTGGGTCCTGGGTCCGGCCACTCTGCTGTCACCCTCAGCCAATGCATCTTTGGCCCAGGTCTTTGTAAGGTGGACAGGGCAGTCCCCAGGGTGACATAGACCTGCCATCCCTCAGGGTCCCTCTGTTTAGACCTGCAGGAGGCCTCCTGGAGACTCCTGTAGAGCACACTAGGGCCCCTCTGGATTGTTCCCTTTCCTGTAATGATGTGGCTTTCAGACAGTGAAGAAGGGTGAACAGGGCCCCCTGTGGGGCTCGCCTGCCATCCCCGAGGGCCTAGTGTGGAATCTGACAACTGGAACCAGAGAAACCTAGACCCAGTGCAGATATTGGTTTTGGTGCTACTGCCTCCCAGGTGCTCAGCAGGGACTGAGGAGGAGCCAGTGTGCACAGCAGATCCCAGCATTGATGGGGCCTGGCCTCCTGGTACCTTGCTGTATCTCCCACTTCCTGTTCAGGACCACTATGCTGAGATCTGGATGCAAACAAAATAAAGGTAATTTATGGTGTTCTGAAAAAAAAAGAAAGAAAGAAAGAAAAAGAAACAAGCTGTAGTGGGTATTTCATGGTGATTCCTTCTTGAAATGCAAATTCTGAAGAAAATTGAAAGCAATTTTAAAATTTCTTCCTTTCTATGTATTTTATGCTAACCATTCTTCTTCCTTGCTTGGGATTTAACACAGTATTTTAACCAAAAGCTTAGCATTCATTTCTAAAAGGATTAATAATAAGAATTTGAAAACCTTTAAACGCATAAAATGTTTCAAGTCCATTTAAATCAATCAACCAAATCAAATGTGTGGTTACTCATGTTTTGTAAATGGCTTTCAAGGTTTATGTGGTTTTTGTTGTTGTTGTTGTTGTTGCTGTTTAACATTAATATAACCTCAATGTGATATCTGCTACTTTAAAATCTTAAACCAAACAGTATCAGTTTTAACAGTTAATTCATTGGAAGGTAAAATCAGTATACAACAAACTGTTGTTGAGTTCACATCACCGAAATCAATTTTGTCAGCAATTCTTACTTTATAATAAATATCAAAATATGTAGCAAAGATATTGTAAATATCTGAATGCATTATAACACCAGTTCTCAGACATCAACTGAATGTCTGACAATTCAATTCAATTCTGACACTATCTACCTGGTGTTAGCATCAGATCTAACACATTGTAAGTCAAAGTCCTGAACAAGTTTATCTTTGCTTCAGAAGTCACATGTAAGTGGGGATCCCAGTTTGTCCTCATTTCCGTTTTTCCTTCTACCAATCTGGGGATTCCCACACCCTCTCAAGTTCTATATCTTACTAGGATAACTCAAGAGTAACTATGATTATGAATACCAGTTTGATATAAAGATTACAATGAATAACAAGATAAAGAAGTACACAGGGTGAAGTCTAGAATGGTTCCAAGCACTGAAGCATTTATGCAGTCAAGGTGTGCTACTCTCCCAGAACATTGATATATTCACTCATCAGGAATGTCCCATGAGTTTCATTTTCTGGAGTTTTATTAAGCATGATTGACTAAACAATTGACCATGTGTTTGAACTCAGTATCTCATCTCCTCCCTGTCATAGAGATTAAGCAGCTGAACTTTCCAACTCAAATTAAACCAAATAAAGATTTTTTTAAAAAATAGGGAAGTGATAACCTGTGTCAAATGCTGCCAAAATATCAAATAAAATGAGGATGAGTATTGACTCTGTATTTGAAAAATGTAAATGTGACAATGTGAGATTTCAATGGAGTAGTAAGGACAAAATCTAATTAGAATACATTTGCAAAAAATAAGTTGTGGGAAATTTGAAAGAGTTAAGTCTAAACAGCACTTTTGAAAGGAGGATGCTCCAAAGTTATCAGAGACAAAATGTGAAGAGGGATTAAGTGATCAGGGATTAGGATTTAGGAAAGTTTTTGCTGTAAGTGATGTTATTGTTATTTAAGATGTGGGATACTTCAATGCTTGTAGGATAAGGATGCAATGTACAGTTATAAAGTGATAATATATAAAATAATTTATTTTCAGGAGCAAAATACATATAAAGAAGATTATGTGGGTACAGATGTGCTTATATGGGCAATTATGTTGGTACAGGCTTACAGTAGATCTCTTAAGATTGCATGTATTTTCAGTGAATTAAGAGGCTACTTAATCAGTTGATAGTGAGGAAAGGGACACTATAGGATGCTTGAGATGAGATGATGTGAAATTATTGTTGAACAAAAGAAAATGAGAATGAAAATAAACAGGAATTACAGTAGGATGATTGGTAACTACTGAATGGGCACTTTAAATTTTAGTCATAAAAATAGAATGAGACAACAAATGAAAGTCTTCAGCCAATAAGATATAAACTACATGTATAATTTCTTGACTTCAGCAAACTGTTTGAGTCCTACTTAAGATGACTTGGCTTCTGAGCCCTGCCTTCCTGTGACAATAATAAGCCAAGGGAGCTGATGAAATGCACTGTTGTTAAAATATGAGAAAAGGTCATGGTTTGGGAAAGTAGTTTTGGTATAAGCTTTTGGATTTTGCACACAGGACTGATAATTATGGAGATGATAGTGATAATGCTGATGGTGGTGCATCTCATTCAAGAGATGGTAGATGGTGTTAAGGTGCCTAGAGTAAACACCCAGAAGTAGAGAAGATGAGGAAGCAACTACTTATGAGTATTAGCATTGTGTAGCACATAGATTTTGTGCTTTACAGCTAAATGCAGTCTAATAGTGTATTCATTATTCCTCCTATTTCACAAAGGAATTCGACTTGATTATCTGAACCTACTATTCAAAAGAGAGAGGGAGTGACAATCTTTTACTATATTCAGAAATTTACCATGAAGGATGGAAGTAAAAACTTGTCAAATATTTTATTAGGATTTATTTCCATTAATATGACCACCATCAACTTTCCAGTATCTTTGATATCAAGCCATTTTAGATAGCCTTATAATGGAGTCAGATCCCAGGAAACCTCTCTGCTTGATAGAGTAGGAAGAATTCTAGAGGAATTCTATGGGTTATTTTGTTGACACAAAAAGACTGCCCTGTCTAGTAAACCAAAACAATCTTTGCTTTGATGCCATTTCTGCTTGAACAATCTGTAGTGATACTCAGCAGAAGTTGTCACTCCTTGACACTATGTAAAGAATCTAGTTTCACTATTAAAACACAGCAAGGTTTTTATGACCACAACTTTACTCCATAAAATGGGAATGACAAGGGGATGATTGAACAACTATGTATTTGGATGTACTTTTAATAGAAGGCTGCATTTTATATCATTTTATTCTTTCCAGAACACATTTGCTAACATTACCTCATTTGATCCACACAGTTTATGAGGTTGTCAAGAGTCAATTCTACACATTTTAGAAAAAGTGAATTATAGCTTAAACTGAATTTCTAAATACTATATGCATTGCAAATGGCAAAACCCTACTAAACCCAAGTTACTCATCTGTAGGCCAAATGGAGATGAATTCCTTATGACATGCTGTTTCCTGAAATGTTTTTTTTTTTTTTTGTGAAAAATTGTACGTTAATTTCCAGTAGGGCTTTCTCTATAACTATGATTCACAAACTTCAGCACACATCAGAAATATCTGGAGAGCTTGTTGAAACACAGGTTGCTAGATGCCATCCCAGAGTTTCTGATTCAGTAGATCTTGGTTGGGGCATAAGAATATGCTCTTGTAACATATTCCAGGTGATGCTGATGTTCCTGTGACTCTCTTTTTTTCTTATCTTGGAATGTGTTGCTTTAGTAAGGCTTACATTGCCAAACAATGCAGGGCTATTACCAAACTAAGGCAACAGTTTGGTAATAGCCCTGCATTGTTTTACACTTTGTTTTTAATTTATTGACAGATACTTTCTGAAAATTTAAATTTACATTGACAAAACGGTTAAGACAGAGCCATTGGTTGTTGGAGTTCTTGGAGAAAAGAAATTTTATTTGTGAATACAACCCAGGGTTAAAAAATCCCTGTTATCTTTTTTTTCACATTGATGAATGGAGGTTTTATAGTCCACACTTTTAATAAGTGTACCTATATGATTTCTGGCTCTAAATGGAAATCTTCATTCAAACTACCCACTTTATGTAAACCTGAGGACACTAAAACTCATG